TTTTAATATTGGTAGTTTTGTAGTTTGAGATAGTTGGTCTCACATTTCTATTTTGAATTAAAGATGATTAGTATTTCTTAAATAAAAAATTGTTAAGCCAAACATGGTAAACCAAGCCAGGCCTGTGCACCTGAAGATGTGACAGTATTGTAGATGGGGGCAATGCTGGTTAACAAAGTTTTCTGGTTAACAGAGTGCCGGATAACAAAGGTTTCACTACTAAGGGTAAGGACTACCAGCGTAGTCAACGCTCCAGCTACCATCATGGATGGTAAGAAGGAACTGTAGGGGGTGAAGGGCCAGCAGGGGTATATATGAGCTGATATAGCGGTGCCATTCCAGGGGGCTCACTGACTAAGGGCTAAGGGAAAAAGCTCTGGAATCCATGCATGCAGTGTGCACACACCTAATTAGAATGGACATGAGCAAGCACTCAAAGAATATACTGATGCATTGCCTCTTGAGGAACGCCGTGACCATGGCCAGAGTTTTGGAAAATACCTGGGGAGACATGGAAAGTCCGAAAGGGAGGACTTGATACTGGTAGAGGTCTTTGCCTACCATAAATCTGAGAAACCTCCCTCCCGTGTGCAGGATCTATTGTTATATGAAAATGTGCATCCTGAAGGTTGATGCTGAGAACCAGTCCCCCTCTTCCACTGCAGATATAATAGTGCCCAGAGTCACCATTCTGAACTTCTTGTTGCATACGAACTTGTTGAGCTTCCTGAGATCCAAAATGGGCCTCCAACCCTGTTTAATTGGCCATTAGGAAGTAGTTGGAATAAAACCCTCTTTCTTCAAATTCTGGAGGAACCAGTTCCACTGCCCCAAGCTGAATAGTTTTTGCACCTCTTGTAGAAGGGTCGTGTGAGAGGGGTCCCTGAAGAGGGACAGGGAAGGGTAGAGGACATAGAAATGAAGGGGACTGTGTAGCCAATATTGATGATCTCGAGGACCCACTTGTCCATAGTGATGAGGGCCCACTGATAACAAAAGGGCCTCAGATGGTAGTGGGGAAAAAAGGGGTCTTATGCACTGGATCGCTGGGGTGATTCCTCAAACCTTCGACCACATCTTCAAATTTGCTACTTGAACATGGTGGGTTGGTTGTTGGAGAAATGGTTGTGTTGCATCCTTCTTCTGTTGGACAATTGTTTGGATCTCCGATCATATGGTCTCTGCTGTGGTCTCTGGTAGTTGATCTCTCAGTCTCTGAAATGGAGTGTACCTGCACCTTTTATTAGACAGGGTGTACATGCCCTAAGGTTCACAGTGTGGTGTGGGAATCCTTCACTGAATGGAGGACTTTGTCCGTTTTGGCCACAAAGAGTTGGTTCCTGTCAAATAGGAAGTGGTCTACCTTGGTCAGCAGCTCCCTTGGGACTCCAGAAGATTGTAACCAGGAAGCTCTGTGCATGACTATTGCAGTTGCTGTGGCCCTGGTTGCCATGTCTGCTATGTCCCTAAATGCCTAAAGGGCTGTTCATACTATTCACTATGTCCATAGATGCCTAAAGGGCTGTTCGTGCTATTGATTGACCCTCTGTCTTTAAAGATTAGAGCTGAAGCCTCTTTTGCTCTGGAAGGTCTTGCAGGAGCTTTTGTAGCCTACTGTAATTTGTGTGGTAGTAGTTAGCCAGGACAGTAGTGTAATTCGATATTCGGAACTGAAGGATGGCAGAGGAATAGTCTTTTCTGCCAAAAATGTCTAACTGCTTATGCCCCTTGTCCTGTGGCGTGGACTTATACTGGGGTTGTCCAGATCTATGACTGACTGAGTCCATGACCAATGAATTTGGATTGGGGATGTGAAAAAAGAAAATTCATGCCTTTGATCAGGACGAGTATTTTCTGTTTGCTCTGTGATTGGTAGGAGGGATAGAGGTTGGTGTTTGCCAGAATGCCTTCATAACAGTTTCACTGATTGATAACACTAGTTTAGAAGATGTTGCTGGTTGGAGTATCTTGAGTTATTTGTATTGCTTTTCTTGCACTTCCGGCAGTGCAATATCCTGGGACTGAGCTACCCATTTAAATAAATCCTGAAACTGCTTCAAATTGTCTGCAGGTGGAGAGGATGACGAGGTAAAGATAGCCTCATCTGGAGAAGAGGAAGACTGTGGAACCAGGAAGGAGCTGTCCAAGTCAGAGTGAGGTAAGTCATCCTCTTTATCCACTGTCTCAGCTTGGGTTGTTATAGAAGGTGAGTATGGAGGACAAGAAGGTGAGGTGTGTTCAGTGGTGGCTGGAGAACGCATTACCCTAAGTGCTGGTGTCGATGCCGTCATCTCACATGCTCAGTGATGATGTGAGGAAAGGGCGCGGTATTGATACTATGGGCCATTGGGGTTGGAGCTGTTGTGGCAGATAAGGCCAAGGGGAATTAAACCACAGATATTGTGGAGGGAGGTGTGATGGTCAGTGCCAAGAGGAATGCCAGGAAGTCACAGAGCTCATTGGTGAGGAGTGCTGCAAAAAAAACCTGCTCTCTTGTCTAGTGCCATGCCCAGTGCTGATGGTGTAGGTGAGTAAGAAATATGTTCTGAAGATTGTTGGTGTGGAGTAGGCTGGTGGATTCTAGGAGAATACTGAGGTGAAGATGTGGTTGGGCACCAGTGGAGACGGTGCATACAGCTGTGGTGCTCGGTACCAGGTGTCAGCTGTTTTATGAGAAGCCTTCTTTGGCTTCAGTCCCGGAGCTTGTTTGGGTTTCAATTGGCAAGAGGTGTCCGTTGGCACAGGGGTGGTGGCATGTCAGACTTCACTGGTGCTGAACTGAGGAGCGGTACTGGTCAGTGTGGTACCAGTCAGTGCAGAGGAGCTAGACTTCCTCTTAGTCTCTGATTCTGCTCTCTTCATACATGCTGTTTTCCGCTTCTCTGTGGTGCCAGAAGTAGATGGCACCGGCAAATGTGCTGGAGAGGCCCAGGACACATGGGAATCCCTGGAGGGTGATTAATTAGTCCTCTCACAAGGAGTTAATGATGCCTTGGGTTCAGTAGACAGACTCCAGTTGTTGAAGGGAGTCTCTTTTGGTTGATGGCTCAGGAGGAGCATTGCCAGCAGATACAGAGGTGTCATTATTCACCTTTATTCAGCTCTGGTGAGGCCACATCTGGAGTATTGCATCCAGTTCTGAGCAACCCATTACAGAAAGGATGTGGACACATTGGAGAAAGTCCATCAGCGGGCAACACAAATGATTACGGGGCTGGAGCACATGATGTAGGAAGAGAGGCTGAAGGATTTGGGCTTGTTTAGTCTACAGAAGAGAAGAGTGAGGGGCTTTTAACTACCTGAAGAGGGGTTCCAAAGACGATGGAGCCTGGCTGTTCCCAGTGGTGACAGATGACAGAACGAGGAGTTATCGTCTCAAGTTGTGGTGTGTGTGAGGATATAGGTTGGATATTAGGAAAAACTATTTTACTAGGAGGGTGGTGAAGCACTGGTAGGGAAGTAGTGGAGTCTCCATCCCTAGAGGTGTTTAAGTCTCGACTTGACAAAGCCCTGGACAGGTTGATTTAGTTGGAATTGGTCCTGCCTAGAGCAGGGAGCTGTACTTGATGACTTTCTGAGGTCTCTTCCAGTTCTATGATTCTAGGGGGGTTTGAAGGCAACCGTGGGCTGGGAGGAGCTGGATTGGGCAGAAGATAGATGGTCTTTTCCTGACTCTCATACATTTGCCCTATCCCATGTCATAATAGGATTGGGAAGGCTGAACAGACAGTCTGGGGCTTGAATTTCTAATGTGCAATCCCCAGAATATACACACAAGCGTGTGAAGGGTGATGTGGGAGTCCTTCAAGCCATGCAACTTAGTGTCTGTCTTCTCCACAAACAGGGCCAGCTCATCAAAGGGGAGATCCTGCAGAGACTGCTATGCCTCAGGGGAGAGACCAGAGAGAAGCCAGGGTGCCTCCGCAAACAGACAGCTGAGGGTATATAATGGGTTGCTGTGACTGCTGCATCTGAGGCCACTTGGAGCACTGCTCAAGCCATAGCTCCATCCTCCCCTAGGGCCCAAAACTCTGCTGCATCTGAGGCCACTTGGAGCACTGCTCAAGCCATAGCCCCTTCCTCCCCTAGGGCCCAAAACTCTTTCTTCAAGTCCTCCTAAAGAGAAGAGTTGAACTTAGTGATAGCCTGCCACATGTTCATCTCATAGCAGGCTATGACGGCCTGATTATTAGCCACTCGGAGCTGGAAGCTGAATAAATTTCATGCCCAAATAAATCCAGCTGGAAGCTGAATAAATTTCATGCCCAAATTTCATGTCCCTTTGAGTCTTTATATTTTGGAGTTGACCTGGATTCGTCTTGCCTCTAATGGTGATTGACTGCCTCCATCACCAGGGAACTAGAGGCTGGATGGGAATAAAGGTACTCATGAGCTTTCGCTGGTACAAAGTTTTCGTGTTCTGCCAGCTTAGAAATGGAGGAAGGTGTTTGCCACAGGGTTATAGCGACTTTGGCCACTCCATCATGGAAGAGTAAAGCCACTCTGGCTGGAGTTGCCTGTCCCAGCACCCCAGAGGGTATCTTTTGGCTCAAGTTCCTCTACCTGAAGATTAAGGTTGGTGGTGACCCTCTTAAGGAATTTCTGTTGAGTCCAAGCATTGTCCAGGGTGACAACAAGAGAGGGCACTGCGATGGGCTGGTCCAGGACAGGCTGAAGGCTGTTCCTCTACTTTGTGTGCCACCTGTAGGGCGGAAGCCCTTGAGGATTCTGGTGCCCAAAAGCATTTAGTGCTACTGATATAATGGCTACCAAGCGCGATACCTGGCATGACACGGGAAACCAACACAGGTTCCAGGGGTACCATTGGGACGGCAGGCTTGAGGACACTGAGCAGTCCGAGTCCATTGACCGTATCAGAGGCATTGGACAAGGCACCTGAGCCAGAGGCACTGAGGCTTGGTCCAAAGCCAGGCTGAAGGAGCATGTGATTGCACCACAGCAATTAATACTTTACTATTGATTCCCCTCCCCCCATCCCAGTAATAAATTTCCAAAGCCTGGTTGAACATTTATTTTAATGTTATGCTTTCTCTCTCTCACACATACAGTCATTGAACAGTCCTGTACTGTTAGATTTCTACAAAAATATCAATTTGTCAAAAGCTGAAAAGAGGGAAAGATATATTTTAATATATAAAAGGAAAAAAGCTAAATCTGACATTACATTATATTCTTAAAAACATCTGTCTATTTACAAACATATCTAAAAAAATGAAGTTTCCAGGACTTGTGGTCTAATGAGAATGTGCTCCTTGCAGAGGTTTCTTTTGTTCTCCTGATTCCAAACCCCGCTATTGTCTCTCAATAGTGTGCATAATTTCCAAAAGGTTTGTTCCAAACCTATTCATTTTGGGGCTATGGGTAGGAGGGGATTCGACATTCAAATTGATAGTGAAATTAAAAGATGATATGTAAGGGCTAGGAAAATCAAAGCCTAATGACCTTTTCAAAGGGGTTTTGTTGCTAGGCAGAACCAGCCAAACACTTAACTTGGCCACGTGCCTATTGGTTCTTTTCATTTTGGGGTCTCTTCCTGCAGACTTTAGTGAGTTTTATGGCATCAAGCTTTCATCTCAACATTATCTTTTTGTTATAGCAAGAATTCCTGACTGCCAAACAGTACAACTGTAAATATGTATCTAGACATTTTCTATCACCTTGATGATAGCCAACAGACCCACAAGGCAGGTAGGGTTATTTTAAAAGAGTATTTGAGTGACTTTAATGCTATCTGTGTTCTATGAAATGAGAAAGGCATAATTTTCTTAATGTACAGATATGGATTAAAACTTTAACATAAAAATGAACAGCAGCCATTTTGGATCAAGAAGTGATGGGGGATAGAGAGGAAATTTAGTGGCTTTTTGTGTGTGTGTGGGGTACCTTCAGTGCAATGCTAGTGGCTGTTTCACACATAGCAAGAAGTTGAATTTAATGGCAAACCAAACTGTCTTGGGCAGAATGACAAGCAACTTCAGCCAGTTTAAAATACCCAGATCCAAATTCTCAGGTATATCTGGGGGACCAACATAGTTGCTGGGCCCTTGGACAAGGTACTTCAGGGGATGGCTCTGCTCTCCCGGAAGTGGCAGGGCCCTTGGTGGAAGGGGTGGAGCTGGGGCAACTAGCCCTCAGAGATGCTTGGAGTGTGCCATGTGGCACTACAGCAACAATTTAAAGAGCATGGAGCCGCAACTGTTGCCATTACCACAGTAGCAGTGGTGGCAGCCAGGCCCTAGGGCAGATGTCCCCTTTGCCCCTTTTGCATCAGCAGGGCTGGGTACATCTGTGTAAAACTGGTGAAACTCTGCTGACATCAGTAAAGTTACTCCAGATTTATACTGATGCAAATGAGGTTTGAATCTAGCCTCTGAAGTCTAAGTAGGTGTAAACACGTATTTAGAGTTGTTCCCCTTTCTAAGGCATTGAACGATAGCTGTAAGGCTTTGCATGGTTCTTATGCTAACCTATCCCCTCTTCTTCAAACCTTTAGTGCAGGAAGATTAGCATTTATGACACAAAATGAGATTAAACTGTAAATTATACAAAGGTAACAGAAGCAATCTCCACCTATCCAACTGTTTTCAAACTCACCTTGTAGAAAGTAGAGACACCTCCATTACACAAAGTCTGGAGTAATTTTATGCATACCCATCTTAAGAACCATATCTTTTCTTTGCAGCCCAAGATACAATTGTAACAAAGAAAAAGAACACCAAATGGCATACGTACCCAGTGACACAGCCATTCCAGACACAAGTCCAGTAGCTGCAGTGTACTGAATAGGGAATACATTTGTACTAAATGTAGTTTGACACAGCTTCTGAACAGTGGAAGAACCTCACTTACAGCACTTGCAAGTGAAAGTCAGACACACAGGCTTAGCCTTGGTACTGGGAGAGATGAAAGTTTCTACATTAGTGCATCACAATAGGGGAAAGTGGGGAGAACTGGCAGCATGTGGAATCCCAACTGCCTCTGCTCAGGTATAAGAGCAGGGATTACATTCCTAAATACAATTATGCAAGAAAGGCAAAATGTGCCATTTCCCAGTTTCTACAGATTTTTCACAGCAGTTATTTTTACTTTTTAGGAGCACCTAAGAATTATTTACAAACTAGGTAGGAAAAAAATCATTTATACACTCATTAACAAATGTCTCTTCTAGGCTGAAAATGTCATTCAAGGAAACTATGAAAAGAAAAAGTTTATACAAAAATATAAATATCTTTACAGTCTGCAGGCCCTTCACTTCCAACAGCTTAACTGTGAAGAGTAACTACAGTTTTTAGAATAAGTGGTGGCAGAAGAGAATAAAAATACATTTTGCTATTCAAATACTGCCCCTATTTCCCTGGTAATGAGCTTTTTTGTTTTGTTTTGCTATACACATCCTGCATAAATGCAATGAGCAAACTGAGTACCTGTCCTGAATTTGTAAAACAATGGATGGTTTGGAAGGACATGCACATGCACACATTTATTTTTATCTTCCAATCATCCTGAAAGGGTCACTTCCTGTAAATGAATTTCAGATGTGTATGTCTTTAAGAACCACGAGGAAGGGAGGAAAAAGGGAAGGAGAGGCGAAACGGAGACAAATGACACACAAACTACTTCAGTGATGCTTTTAAAGAATTAGCAATCTGATACCCAGATGGTTTTTTTCCTATCGGAATTTGTTCATTCTGGATGCGGTCTTATGCCAAGCATGCTCAAGGAAGAACATTGCATGGTATTATCTTTTTAAAATTAGCTAACTAAAAATACATCACTGGTTGTTGCAATTATCCAAACTCTGACTGGACTACAAAAATTTCCTTCTTTACCTTATGATGGGAGTTTAAGATTTAATATGGAAATGGTGTGGGCAGGAACTAATAGAAAGCCTAAGGAGGAAGAAAATTCTTTTGCACTGAAGAATGGAAATTTTTGACATTAGCATTTTGAGAAATCTATCCCTGATCTCCCTTTCTCCACTCAGGGCAACCAGTTTGAACAAACTTGCTCCAAATCTCCTTTACACAAGCTTATTACATTCTGTGGGCTCTGCACAAACTGCAGATGTGAGCAACCCTGCTTCTGCATAGATAGTTAATTTGGCTGGTACAAGAGCTAATATGCCTGATTTCTCCTCATCCAGAAACAACTGCATCTCTGGTAAGGTATGAATCTCTCAGTGGCCTGAGTCCATCAGACCTCTAATTTCATACTCTATTTATCAAGGATCCACTGTTGGAAGAATACCATTTGCCCAGCAATGGTAATAAATCATATTGTTTTCTTTCTGGGAAAGGAACATCCAGAACACAGCAGTGAGGTAAAATTCATGGTAACATAATTAAAGTTTCATAGCATTGATTTCTCAGCTTGGGGCCTGCCCTCAGTCAGAAGAGTGCACTGATACCATATTTTCTTTACAGTGTACAGAAAACAAGTGTCTGAAGACACAAGATATTAAAACTCAAGACACCAACTCCTTTCATAGTCCACATTTGCTCCCGATTTTTCTTTCAGCCACTGAAAAATCCAAGCATTTATTTACTTGCAGAATTTGAAGGCAAGGTCCCAATACTATTCAATTTTGCAACTACAGAGGCTAATGTGGGCATTATTTTACTGTCCTGTTCTTCCTGGTCAGTTGCAGGTAATTTACTTTTTAAACCAATGGGTGCCAGTTTTGCAACTACAGGCGCCAACACTGGCATCACCTTGGTACTCTGCCCTTCTGAGTCTAATGGAAGATTTGCAATTTTTAACCCAAGTGGGGCCAGTTTGGGCATAGGCCTCCACAATGTGTCAGTATTACCAGCTTCTAGATTGGTTTTCATTTGCAGGATTGGAGGAGACACACTGGTCTCTGCCAAGGGATCTAAAGTTTTACCGTGACCACCATCAGTTACTGAGAGTTTGGCAAGTGGGTCCTTCATGTCAGAGCCTATCACTATCTTCAAAATATCTGCTTGAGATGAAGGTTCTGCAGAGTTCTTCTCACCATCCGTAAGGTCATCATCTTCTAGGTGAAGCAGGAGGGGGCTTATGGAGCCACTACTCTCGCGAACTTCAGAAAGGGCCTTGAAACTGCTACCCAAGTGACCGTACGGGAAGGAGGATCCATCTGCAGCAGCCAGGTCACTGGCAGCTCCCCTGAGAGTTTCAGAGTCTTCTGGGGAAAAGTCTGAACTCAGGGTATTGGGCAGCTCTGACATGCCAGAAGTGTCATCATTCAGCTGCTGATTGAGAAAGGCAATTTCGTTGAGAAGTGAAGTGAGGGTTTCATCAGTGTCATCACTCTCTTCAATGCTGCCCAGTAACTCACTTGGGTCTAGTTCTGCTTCCTCCATTGCAGAGGCTACTTTCCTCAGTTCCATTTCTATCCTGGAGTCTTTGAGATCTTTAACTTGCAGCTTGCGGAATGGAAAATCCTTTGGCTTCAACCTTTCCCCTCCCTGATCAATCTCTTTCTTCCTCCCCTGGTTTCCAACAAACTCTCCAATACAAAGCTTTTTAGCAAAGGACTCTGAAGAGTCTTTTACTGTAGGTACATTCCGAATCTGTGGAAAGCTGTTGTCTTTATTTTCAAGGAAAATTTCCGTGGGCCCTGTGGCACTTTTCCCATCTCCACAGCTGTCTCCAGGAGATGCCTTGTTTTTTTCTTCTGAAAGGATGTCCTCATTCTGCCTGTTTTCATGAGGTCCTGCTTTCAGGGACTGCTCAGATGTCTGGGCACCAGCACCTGGGGTTACATGAGAATTCTTGGTTCTATTCAGGCTTAAATTAACTCCCCCTTCAGCAGCCAGTGATGTCACATTGACAATTTTTGGCATCACGAATGAATCTTCACACTCTAAAAAACCAAACAAAGCAAAATCCATCAGGATCACTGATGACTGCAGCTGAAAACAATCCTCCTTCTCCCGTAACACCTCCCCCCAACAAAACCAACTCTATAAAGAGTTTAAAACATCTGCTTTAATACACAGATGTGAACTGGTTGTACTTTTTTTTTTAACTCTACAAACTTAATCAATACTACTCTGAAGAGTGAATCATTGAAATCACATGATGTCTATTACCTATCAGAATTTATTTTTAACTTGAACACATTTGAAAGATGTTCATTCCCCCTACGGCCTGATCTTGCAAACTCAGCTTAGTATCTTCTCCCTCTGCCAGTGCACAATTGGTAGCAGACAAAATTCAGCCCTCATTTATACCTGTGCAATCTTGTATCTTCAGGATATGTCCTGCAATAATGTGTGAAATTCCCCCTGCTTTCAGTAGACTAACACAAGTGAAACTGATTGGAACTTACCACAATTTTTTTTCTGGTGATGCACAAAACAGAAAATGCTTACACACTATCTCTTAGCTGTGCCAACTCTCCAGAAGTAAAAGCAATGTACTTATTCGTTTGCCCTGACGTCAATAGCTATAACTACTATAGAGCAGGTCTGTCAAGTACAAAAGTGCCATTTCTACATTAATTTTTTAGAATTGTTACTTCATTCTATTAGTGTAATTATAGCCAGCATACACTAAGTCACTCCTTTTCCAGAGCTTCTTCAGAGGAATTTTCTGAAGTAGGTTGGTGAAAGCTAGCTAATATCTACTCCCATCAAGAAATACTTACTATTTACACAGTAGTTTTTGGGCTGTACACTAGAAAATTATGTTTCCTGCATATTTTGCCTCTACTGCATATTTCAGAGACCTTCTGTGCTCATTTACTGGTAGCAAAAGAATTCGCAGATACAGTAGTCAGATTTTCCCTAGTCCTACATCTGAAATTGACCCTTTTCTTCTTAGCTCCATACACCCTATTACATGAGAAACTCCATTAAGATGGTGAATTGCCTCAACTTGGGAGTTCTATGCTCTGGATGACATGAAATGCTCCTAATATAAACATCCACTATCCTCTCCCTAAGTTCTGTTCACAATATTTCTTCAAATATTTCAGCTATAATAGCGTCAGATATGAGAGTACAAGATGGCTCAAATATTAAGTGCTGTTGAATGAACAGGAGGTGAAAGAAATGCCCCCTCTACTCCAGCACATAATTGTACTGAGTGCTTCAAAACTGTGAAGGAAAGATGCAATGTTATTTACCATTCTGAAGAAAAGCTGACCCTAAATATTTTAAAGAGAACTTTTGATAGCCTCACACAAGGATTTGTGAATGGAGAACTTACCTGAAGCAAGTTCTGCAGCTGATCCAACAGGTGGGGGCCCTGGGTTACTTGCAATGGTTGGTAGTGTAATGGGAATAGCTGAGTTAGCGAGGATACCTTTCACTTGGACAGGAACAGTTGAGCACGGTAGCTGAATCATCACGGATGCAATACCTTATTCAGGAAGAAAAGCAATTTTTTTTATGACAACTCAAAAATAGAAAATATAGCACAACACAACCATGCTGTATCTGGTAGTATACTACCATCTGAAAGACATTGACAATTTTTGGCATCACGAATGAATCTTCACACTCTAAAAAACCAAACAAAGCAAAATCCATCAGGATCACTGATGACTGCAGCTGAAAACAATCCTCCTTCTCCCGTAACACCTCCCCCCAACAAAACCAACTCTATAAAGAGTTTAAAACATCTGCTTTAATACACAGATGTGAACTGGTTGTACTTTTTTTTTTAACTCTACAAACTTAATCAATACTACTCTGAAGAGTGAATCATTGAAATCACATGATGTCTATTACCTATCAGAATTTATTTTTAACTTGAACACATTTGAAAGATGTTCATTCCCCCTACGGAAAATTGTATTTTATAAACTGAAGTGCATAAATGAACAGAGGGATAGATTCAATAACAATTTTTAAATGGGCTTAAATTGCAATAAGGGAGGTTTAGATTGGACATTAGGAAAAACTTCCTAACTGTCAGGCTTGTTAAGCACTGGAATAAATTGCCTAGGGAGGTTGTGGAATCTCCATCACTGGAGATATTTAAGAGCAGGTTGGATAGACATCTATCAGGGATGATCTAGATATATGGTGCTTGGTCCTGCCGTGAGGGCAGGGGACTGGACTTGATGACTTTTCGAGGTCCCTTCCAGTTTTAGTATTCTATGATTCTTCCAGTAAACCTGCTCTCATGTGAGCTTACCTGGCTGTGTTGTAACTGTGTTGCTAGCAACTTGAGACTTTAGCTCAAACTTGCAGAAGTGTGGAAGGAACAGTGGCTACCTGTTCTGGCATCAGGGAACTCTTCAATGTAAGCACCTGCCCTTGTGGAGTCATCACTAGGCTGGCAGTAGTTAACGTAACAGGAGAGGATGTGGTTTCCACTGCATAAAAATACAAATAAAAACCCCACACTGAAAGTGATATTTCTGACACTGCATGCTTTACAGCCTTTAACCAATAGATACTTACTAGCTGACAACAGCTCTCTTTTGAGTGAATATCAATATTAGTGTCCTCAGCCCACTTTGCTAATTAGAACAATTTTCTCAGCTAAAATCTGTTAGCAACTGGCAAGCTCGATTTATCTTAATTTCCCCACTTAGAAACCTCTGACCCCACTTATCCAATCACAGAGGAAATTAATGTGATTTCTGTAAATTTCTAGACTTTCTTAAACTCTACTTTAAAATGTAAAACATACATAACCCTAATATACAGAAACATTCTTGCTTTGATTCTTTACCTTGACTGTGTCTGAAATTAATACATTTATAGCAAAATGGCTATACACAGCAGGCTGCTACTCCCTTCCCCCACCAAGATATCCAATGATTATGGTTACATTTTACTCACTGGTATCCTTAGTAAAAGTTATGGACAGATCACAGGCAGTAAACAAAAATTAATGGCCCGTGTCCTGTAAAGAACTTGTATTATATAACCCTGACAATCTTGGGTGCTCTAAGACAGGGGACAGCTCAGGGGTGCTGCGGGTGCTCTGAGGGAGGTCTAGGAGTGCTCTGGGGAGGGGAGGACTGGTGCAGCTGGCAGGCTTTTTGTTTGGCTCTATATGGCTCCCCAGAACTTTGCAATGAAGCCCTTGACTTATAGGTGGAGGTGTAGCAAGGGGGGCTCTGCATGCTGCCCCCACGCTGAGCTCTGGCTCTGCTGCTTCTACTGGCTGGGAACTGCAGCAAATAGGAATTGCGGGAGGGGGAGTGTCTGCAGCTGGAGGAGTGCACAGAACCATTTAGCACACCTTTGCCTAAGGACATGCTGCTACTTCTGGGAAGCCCCCCTAAGTAAGTGCCACTCAGAGCTCTCATTTCTTCCTATGCCCTAACTTCCTTCTTCAGCCACGAGCCCCCTTTCACATTCAATCTCTTGCTGCTGCTGCGCGAACCAGAAGGGGCAGTGCTGGTCTGAAACTGCCCCAGCAGTGTCCAATGCAGATGGCCCTGAGACTGCCAGAGCTGCTCAGTTGGACCCTAGACCAGTCACACAAGCCACTACAGAAATCATGAAGGTCACAGAAAGTCACAAAATCCATGACAGACTCACAGCCTTTCCAATGATATTTCCCGCCCCACCCCGTGTGAAAAGATCAAACATATCCCAACCTACCGGCAGCCTGGCCTCCTTTCCTCGCGAGTATTAATGGCTTCCCTCGCCTATTTGTCACAATCATTTGTCCCAACTCTTTGGAAGAAGTGGAGGATCCTTCTTGCTCTCTGCTGGGTTTCATGGTCACAACAGTCTCCTCTGGTTCAACTTGTTTCCTCTTCTTTTGTGCTCTTACCTACAAAAAAGTGAGAGAGAGTGAGAGTCTTTTGTGCTTCTACCGCTTTCTGTTTGGCATAAATGTATTCTAACTTCTTCAGAACCACTTCTTCTGTCTTACCTACAAAAAAATTAACAGAGAGAGAGAGTCAAAATGTCCTCAGATTCTAATTGCTTCCAGGACTAAGAATTGGAATGGAACCATACAGAACCAGCAGGTTTACCCCAATGCAATGTATTGTCCAAAGAACAATCTACAGCGCATCACAGAAATAGGAAAATATATCTACTTTTACTCTCTTCAAGGAGAAAAAATAGATCTTAAAATTGGTCTTCAGCTTGTCTGCAGCTTTGATGGACAGAATTCAGACCTAATAACCAATGGCTCAGGGATGTGTCTCTTCCTGCTGGACAGGTTGCCAGTTGAGAACTTTTACTGCTACAATAAATACGGTGTTGGCCTTACCTACAAATACACTGACAGCTGGGGATGAGAGCATTATTTATTTAGCTATGAATGGGGATCCTTCATCTTACCCAAAGTTGTTCAGACTTGTAGATCTTACTATTCAAAGAAAGGAAATTTTAGAGTAAGCTTAATATTTCTTAGAACAATAAGATCCACAGACTATACAATGGAATTTTATCAACTGTCTGTAGGCACGTTGAGAATTTATTTAGCAATTTAGTTATATGATCAAAACTCATATAACTATACACAGGACAACAAAGTGGGTGAAGTAATATCTTCTACTGGACATTCTCTATTGATGAGAACCACAAGCTTTGGAGCCCCAGAGAGCAGACCAACACAACTATAACCACACTACATATAACTGTGCACAGGCTGTCCCTCAAGTGACAGAGGTACTACAGAGTCAATACTATCATTTCAACTACAGCAAAAGATAAAGATTACCTATCAGCTCTGAAGCATATTATAAAAAGTCAGGCTATCTTGCAGATTTTTTAGGAACAGTAGGTCTCTACCCACATATTGCATTTATGGAGTGTGATCAGAGTTTACTAAAACGGCAATTTTTTTGCCTCATATGGCTCAAGTATAAACCACCATATCCACCTAGACATGTAAGACTATGAAAAACACTCTCTCCTTCCTGCTTACAGCCAATTGATTACAAATATTGGGCCTGAATGCTTTACTGTTTTAGATTTGTCTAGATACATTTTTTGTGTTAAGAGAGAAGGACTTTAGTCCTATCAGCCATAACTTACAAAATATGAAGTTGGCTTTACATACCTACGATGACTATTGGAATCATACCAAGAACTAATTTATCAACATGGAATGTGCAGTACTTGTGTTCTCAGGACAGTACTAATTCCATACTCCATCTGGCTGATGCAGTTATCATAAAAGCCACTTGATAGACAGAAAGTATAGGGACAGACCCTTTGGAAGGCTGAAAGGATGCCATGAAAGGCATCAGCACCAGACTAATGTCCAAAGATCAAACCCTGTTTGGCTATTGAGGATATACAAGAAAGGCTCTTTGGACAAAACTCTGTTTCTGAAGGCAGTGAAATATTCTTCCCTTTGGATAGCTCCAGTGTACTGGACTAGAGGATCCTAGATCCTAATGGTCTGCAGCAGGAAGGTATGTCCACATTTCCTTTACCTGTGGAGCTGAAACAAAAGTAGTATGTCTCCTTAACAGGAGAGTTGTCTCCCTAAGCTAGTGGTCTAAATGCTGTCCTCAAAGCTGCACGTGAGCTGAAGATCCACTGTAGAACCTGTGGCCCTTACTGCTTGAAGAAATAAATACTTTTCTGTGTTTATGACAATGTACTTTATACTATCACAAATACACCCCATCCCAAAAATCAGACCAGATTCTCAAAGGTATTTAATGAAAGTTAGGTCCCTAAGTATCTTTGAGGAGCTAATACTAAATCTTTTATCTGCACATTCTACCACTTATGTACCTATCCCCTAAGTGACACCCTAGTCCTTCCCAGCCCTGTAAGTCCTTTCTTTCACTCCTCTAACCACTATGTCCCCTTAAACCACCTCACCTGAAAGTGTGGATACTTTACGAATCAGACTGTCTTGTTTGCGAGTCAGTAAGTTCTTCTGCCCAATCAGTTTATCTGCCTGATCAGTCAGCCCCTGGATCTCTTCATAGGCCTAGAAGCATGTCAGAAACACCAGGTTAGAGACCAAGCTAACGCATACAACACAGAAATAAGTAGCTCTCCTTTCCCAGTCAAAACAGGCATTTTAAAAGTCTCCCTACAGACATTTTCCATCCATCAGAAAAACACCCAATCTTGATTTAAAAATTCTCAGTGATGGAGAATACATCATGATCCTTGGTAAATTGTTGTTGGTAAATAGTTGTTAATTATTCTTGCTGTTAAAAAGTAGGGTTGTGTAAGTATAATTGATTAATCGATAAGCTATGCTATCGACTTTACACATTTAAATGCAAAGATGCAGCAGGGGCCCTACCGCTGCTGCGGCTCTGCATTTAAAAAATACCACAAGCCAGGTAACCAGATAGCCCAGCTCAGTCCTGGCTTGCACAGATCTGGGGCCAAACCACAGTGTCTCTCTGCATTTAAAACATAGCAGGAGCCAGG